AAATACTGTAAATGTTTTGTTAGATTTATACATGGTATTGCATTTTAAATTTCAGTGTCCCTGTGTTTCTTACTAGTATATTAAAATAAGGTGTACTTTGTATATTTGTCTTGTATCTATGGCTTTGCTGAGTTCACATATTCTAAGAGTTTGTTTTGTAAATCTTTGGGATTTTCTCTTAGACAATCGTATCATCTACAAATAGGGACAGTTTTATTTTTCCTTTTCAATCTGTGTGCCTTTTATTTCCTTTGCTTGTCTTATAAGAAGTTCCAGAGCTGTGTTCAGCAGTAGTGGTGAGAGTAGACATCCTTGTCTTGTTCTTGATCTTGGGGGAAGGCATTAAAGTTTTCACCATAAGTACGCATATAGTGTTTTCTGTAGGTTTTTCATAGATAGTCGTTATCGAATTGATAATATTATTTTTCTGAGTGTTTATCATTAATGATGTATAATGAATTCTTTTACATATTGCAAAATTCTGTTGGCTGATATTTTAATAAGGACTTTTATGTCTCCATCTATGGGGGTGTTCTGTAGCTTTTTTTGGTTTTTGTTTTGGTGATAGTGGTGGTGGTTAGTTATTATCTGGGTTTGGTATCAGGATAATTTTTCTGCATTTACTGATAAAAATCATATGATCTTATTTATTTTGTTAATGTGGTGAAATGAATTGATAGGCTTCTAAAATATCAAACCAACTCTGCATTCCATGAGAAAATACCTAAAAAATCATGATATATTATTCTTTTAAAACATATTGCTGGATTTGATTTGTTAATATTTTCTTAAGGATTTTTGGTTTATATTTGTATAGGACATTGGTTTCTTTTTTTCTTTAATGCCTTTGTCAGGCTTTTATATCAGGGTTATGCAGGCCTTGTTGAATGAGTTAAGAAGTGTTTCATTCTCCTGGATTTTCAGAAAGTTTGAATAAGATTGGCATTATTTCCTCTTTATGTGTTTGGAAAAATTCACTGGTAAAGCCATTTAGGCCTGGAGCCTTCTTTGTGGGGAGGTCTTAAAGATTCAATGAAACATGAGTATGGAACCACGAAAGGCCCCAAATAGCAACAGGGATCTTGAGAAAGAACAAAGTTGGAATAACTACACTACCTAATATCAAACTGTACCATAAGGCCATAGTAATCAGAACAGCAAAGTACTGTCATAAAAACAGACACATAGATCAATGGAACAGATTAGGGAGCCCAGGAAAAAAATCCATACCTTTATAATCAGTTAATATTTGACAGAGGAACCAGGCACATGCAATGGGCTAAAGATAGTTTATTCAGTAAACAGTATTGGGAATATTGGACAGATACATGCAGAAAAATGAAAATAGACCACCTTCTCATGCCACACAAAAGAGTAAATTCAAAATGGATTAAAGAGTTAAATGTTAGATCTGAAACCATAAAAATCCTAGAAGAAAACTTACTAAAATTTTGGACATTGCTCATAGCAATATTTTTTTCTGCTCTATCTCCCTAAGCAGAGAAAACAAAAGAAAAAAAATCAACAAATGGGACTATATCAAACTAAAAAGTTTTTTGCCCTATAAAGTTTTTGCACAGCCAAAAAAAAAAAGAACAAGCCATCAACAAAATGAAAAGACAACCCACTGAATGGGAGAACATATTTGCTGATGTAACTGATAAGGGGTTAATATCCAAAATTTATAAAGAACTTATAAAACTCAACACCAAAAAAACAAAACAAGTCCAGTTAGAAAATGGGCAAAGGACCTGAATAGATACTTCTCCAAAGAAGACATACAGATGGCCAATAGACATATGAATAGATACTTACTGTCACTAATCATCAGAGAAATGCAAATTAAAACCACAATGAGATATCACCTCACACCAGTCAGAGTGGCTGTCATCAATAAATCAACAAACAAGTGCTGGTAAGGATGTGCAGAAAGGGGAACACTTTTGCGCTGTTGGTGGGAATGCAGATTGATTCAGCCACTGTGGAAAGCAGTATGGACTTATCTCAAAAAATTAAAAAGGGAACTGCCGTATGACCTAGTGATTCCACTTCTGGGAATTTATCTGAAGAAATCCAAAACACTAATTCAGAAGAATATAAGCACTCCTATGTTCATTGCAGTATTATTTACAGTAGCCAAGATTTGCAAGCAACCCTAGCGTCCATCAGTAGATGAGTAGAAAAAACAACTATAGTTCATTTACACAATGGGATACTACTCAGCCGTAAAAATGAAGAAAATTTTACTCTTTGTGACAGGATGGACCTGAAGAACATAATGCTAAGTGAAATAAACCTGTCGATAAAGACAAATACCATATGATTTCACACATGTAGAATCTAATGAACAAACAACTAACAAGTAAAATAGAGACAGGTTCATAGACAGAGAGCAGGCTGACAGCTCTTGAGGGGAGGGTTGTTTGGGGGTAGACAGATCGAGCAAAAAAGAAAACATGGACATGGAGAACAGTGTGATTGCTGGGGTGAGGGGAGTGGGTGGAAGAGGGTATAAGGGGGATAAATGGTAATGGAAAAAATACAATAAAAATAAATTTTAATATAATTATTTTTTAATAAATAAACGTTATAATTTAGAGCACTTTTAAGATCACAGTAAGACTGAGCAGGAAGCACAAGAGAATTTTCATATACCTCTAGCCCCCCTCAAGGCATAGCTGCCCCAACCATCAATATCTCCTATTATAGTGGTACATTTGTCACAGTGAACGAACCTACATTGACACATCCTCATCACCCAAAGACCATAGTTTACATTAGGGTTCATTCTTCATGTTGTACTTCTGTGGGTTTTGACAAATGCAATCACTGTTACAAATATCAGAATTAGTTTCACTGCCCATTTTGCATTTTCTGTTCTACCTATTCGTCCTTCATTGCGTCACCCCTCCCCCTCCAGCCCCTGACAATTCCAGAATGTCTTATAATAGTTGGAATCATATAGTATGTACTGTTTTCTGATTCGCTTCTCTCACTTAGTAATATCCATTTAAGTTCCTTCCATGTCTTTTCATGGTTTAATAACTCATTCCTTTTTAGGGCTGAATAATATTCCATTGTCTAGAAATAACAGTTTTATGGATAAGGCTTTCATAAACATCTATGCTTAGCTTTTTGTGTGAACATACGTTTTCAACTCATTTGGGTAAATACCAAGGAGTGTGATGGCTGGACCATATGGTAAAAGTATATTTAGTATTGTAAGAAACTGCCAAAGTGTCTTCCAAAGTGGCTGTACCATTTTGCATTCTCATCAGCAATAAATGAGAATTCCTGTTGGTCCCTATCCTCACCAACATTTGATATCAGTGTTTTAGATTTTGGCCATTCTAATAGGTATGTAGTAGTATCTCATTATTTTTTAATTTGCATTTCCCTAATGACATGATGTGGAACAACTTGTCATATGCCTATTTGCCATCTGTATATCTTTATTTTTTTTAAGATTTTATATTTACTTTCAGAGAGAGGGGAAGGGAGAAACAGAGGGAGAGAAACATCAGTGTGTGAGCGAGACATTGATTGGTTGCCTCTCACACCCCCAACTGGGGACCCAACCCTCACCCCAGACATGTGCCCTGACTGGGACTTGAACCGGTGACCTTTCAGTTCACAGGCTTGACGCTCAGTTTGCTAAGCCACACCAGCCAGGGTGCCAACTGCATATTTTTTTTGGTCAGGTGTCTGGTCAGATATTTTGCCCATCTTTAAAAATCAGATTGTTCGTTTTCTGTTGTTGAGTTTGAGTTCTTTTTATATTAGATTTTTTTTTTTTTTTGGCAAATTTTTTCTCTCAGTATATGGCTTATTTTTTTTTATTTTATTGATGGATTCAGTTTTTAAAATAGATACAAAGTTACTCAGGTTTTCTGTTTCTTGGATCAGTTTTTGTAACATTTATGTTTCAGAGAATTTGTTTCAAGTCAATTGTCATATTTACTGGTATTAGGTTGTCTTTTTAATGCCTGTGATGTCCCCTTATTCATTTCTGATACTATAATACATTTTATTATTTTAAAAAAGATTTTATTTACTTATTTTTAGAGAGAGGGGAAGGGAGGGAGAAAGAGGAAGAAACATTAATGTGTGGTTGCCTCTCATGTGCCCCCTACTGGGGATCTGGCCCGCAAACCAGGCATGTGCCCTAGACTGGAATTGAACCAGTGACTCCTTTGGTTCACAAGCCAGCACTCACTCCACAGAGCCACACCAGTCAGGGCTGGGCATTTCTTCTTTTCTAGTATCACTTAAAGCTCTAATTTTCCCCTAAGCACTGTTTTAAGTTTATCCCACAAATGTTGTAGTTTCATTATTGCTAAGTTTGAACTAATTTTAATTTCCTAGGTTATTTAGAAATGTCTTGTTTAATTTCCACATATTTGAGAATATTTGAGATAGCTTATCAATTTCAAGTATAATTTTGTTGTGGATCATGACTACCCTCTTTCTGATTTCAGTCCTTTGAAATAAGTTGATACTAGTTTAAGGCCCAGCATATGTTGGTCAACATCCCATGTGGACTTAAGAAGGATGTACATTCTGTAGTTGTTATGTGCTGGGTTCTTAATGCCTTCAGCCCACTTTTTAAAAAATTCTGTCCAGAAGTTATCATCATCACAAGAGAATTAGTCTGATATGAACTACTCTGACATTACCAGTATTATTTTTGACATATCATTTCTTCATAATATATTCTCTTTGAAAGCATTCTGATGGCAGATATATTAAAATATAATAGGTTATATACAGGTTATATAGTTTGTGTGATTTGTTATTTGGGTAAAAGCAATTGTAAGGTCTTATCTATATTAAATGACTGCTTTTTCATTAATATACATACTCCTGGAGAAATGTTTTATTTTTTTATGTTTATTCATCAATTAAGGATGTTCCAGAATATGTATCATTAAGCAACACCTGATACAGAGTCTGACATAATTTTTTACTGAATTTAATTAAAGATTTGTCTGTTTCTCAAGGTACACTGCCTGGTTTCTTTTCTCCACGGTGGTCTCACATCTGAAACATGGCTACAGATTGGCTGGGCAGTATTGTGTCCATCAACTGTGGCGACAGCTTGGGTGTCTATCAGGGAAGAGTGTCAGCAGTGGATCAGGTGAGCCAGACCATTTCTCTCACCCGGCCTTTCCACAATGGAGTGAAGTGCCTTGTGCCGGAAGTCACCTTCAGGTGGGTGTCCTGACTGATTCTTCCAAGTCTAATTTGGTGGTCTGTGGAGCTTGAACTGAGGCCAGAATGCCAATAGTCTCTTGCGTAGGACTATTTTGAGTAGTCTTCTTGTCAGAGATGAGATTTTGCAGTATTGGATCATATAGTTAGCAGACTGTCATAATTAGCTTTCAGCTCATGGTTCAGGGTTTGTGAAACATTTTTCTGATCTCTGTCAGGCATGGAATATTATATTATTTAAATAAAATGCCTAAAATTCAGAATTACCTCTTTGTTTTCTTTTATGGTTTCAGATTTTCTTTCTCAGTTTTATATCATTGTCCTTAGGTGTATCCATGCTTATTTCTTACCTCCTCTGAAGTTTCAGTAGAAGAAATATCCTCTGTATTCAGAGTTCACTTTATCGTGTATGCTTTATATGCTATCCTTTTCTATCTCCTTTGAGACCCTACCCATCTTTTTCATGTCATTAGTTTCAACTGTTTTACTGTCTTTTTCCTCTCCACATTCTAAAATTCCCAGGTCTCCCCCATAGTACGGGCATTCCCCCTAGCCCACATAAAACTTGCATTTGTAACTGTCATTCCCTTCTCTTTATGCCCACATTTTTTTTTTTCAGAGGAAAATAGTCTGCCTCAGTTCCCTTTGTGGCCTCATTCTCTAGGCCCCTACCCTACCTTACCTTTTTTCTAACTTTACTGTCTTGCTTAGCCAGCTCTTGCCAAAGTTACAGACGGCCTAATTGCCAAATTCAGAGTCATGTCTCAATTATAATCTGTTCAAATGCTCCCCTGACTTTTTTTTAATCCTCACCTGAGGACATGTTTGTTTTTAATTGCTTTTAGAGAGAAAGGAAGGGGGAGGAGGGAGAGAGAGAAAAACATCTATGTGAGAGAGAAACATTGATTAGCTGCCTTATCATATGGGTGATCCAGCACACATCCTTTCAGTCTGCAGGACAATGCTCCAAAACACTGAGCCACTCCAGCCAGGGAAAATGCTCACTAACTTTTGAAGTGTCTGCTTCTTTTAATTTCTGTCACCCCTTTGGGTTTTCTTTTCATGTTTTCCTCCATTCCTTTATAATTCTTTTTTTCCAGATTCCTTTTCTTATACCCACTTTTTAAGATTGGTTTACTCAAATTTCTATCTTTGATTCTTTTCTCATTCTGTACTCTCTAGATGATCTCATGTATACCTTCTTATATCTTAATGAGATCCCAAGTCTTTTTTAGTAGTAATAATAAGCATTTATTGAATTCTTAATAACTAATTACTAGACTTAATGATTTGCATATATCATGTCATTTATCCCCATGAGACTACTTATAAACTGGTCATTGTTATTACTGATAACTTCTCTGTTTGCCTATACAAAATATTTAATTTAGACCCATTTTCTAAGCTCCAGACACTTCATTTTAATTGTCTCCTGGGCATTTTGGGGTGGATAGCCTTAAATTTTCAATTTAAGATTTTCAAAGTTGAACTCATGTTAGTTGCAGATTCCTTTTTGCAAAAATTTACCCTTAATAGGTGACTGACTTTACACTCAAGTTAGAAACTTAAGAATCATAATAAATTTTTCTTTCTCTTTGATCCTCCTGTTCAGTTAGTCACCAAACCCTGTGGGTTCCAAATGTCCCATGGTTCCATCTTCCCTTCTCCCTTTCATTGTCACTTGCCCTGTTTATCTCCTCTTATTTCTTGCCTGGTCTCTTAACTGGTGCTCCTGCCTCTAGTTTCTCCAGCTACCACCACCAGAAAAATCCAGTGTGATTATGATTGGCTCCTAATTATCTCCACAGGTCTTACCTCTTGCTGGACCTGCCCAAGCATCCTTCCCTTTAATCACACCATAACATTTCCATTCATCAAATGAGCCACATATTCTCAGTCTCTGAGCCTTGGGCTGAGATGCCTCTCCTGCTTGGCCAACTCTTTATTTTCCATCCACCCAGACTTAGCATACATGTTTCATCCGTCGCTGCCAAACTAACATCTTTATTTTCCAGTTAGGTTCTCTAGTCTTCTATGCACACCTCTCTCATAGTGTTTAACACTTTAAACAAATTTTCCCCTTTTTATTGAATTTATTGGGGTGACACTGGTTAACAAAATTGTACAGGTTTCAAGTGCACAGTTCTACAATTCTGCAACATATCATCTGTACACTGTAGTGTGTGTTTACCATCCCAAGTCAAGTCTCCTTCTGTCACCATTTATCCCTCCTCTATCCTCTTCCACCTCCCCCTGGCAATCACCACACTGTGGTCTGTATCCATGAGTTTTTTTTCTCTTTTCTTTTTTGCTCAATTCCTCCACCCACCCACTCCCTACTCAGCCTCCAGTATTTAACACTTTTGATTGTCTACTTGTCTTTTCTGACCAGGCTGTTCTTTGTGGGCATGTATTGCTTTTCGACTCTATATACCCCATTCCCAGTGCAAGGCTTGCCGCATATTAAGTACTCTGTTTATGCCTACTGAATGAGCAAGTGAGTGAATGAATAAAAAATGCTATTAAGCATTCTGGAAATCTAAGATGATAATGATAGTTTTGTGATTAACAGTAGGGCTCTTTAAAGGGCAGTGATGTGTTAGTTCACTGTTGGTGGCTGAGCTGTGTCATTAAGTGCTTTACCACCTTTCTTAGCTCTTGCCTTTGATAACTCATTGAAATGCAGCCCTACAAAAGTGTAGCTGGTTACTATTGATTCCAGCTTCATCACTATTACCACTACTGTAGTTTTGAGAATGGATTCTTTTGTGTATTTCAGGGCAGGTGACATTATGGAATTAAAAATTCTGGAGATACCAGGTCCTGGAGAAAACCAACATTTTGGAGACCTTCAGACAGAACTAGGCTCCTCTGGTGTTGGGTACCAAATGGGTATCAATCAGAATGGCACAGGCAGGTTGGTCAAGAAGCCAGCCCCTTCTAGCACTGCCCCTCAAAACATCCCGAAGAGGACTGATGTGAAGAGCCACGATGCTGCCGTCTCCCCACAGCAGCAGTGCTCCAGGAGCTGTGTGGACAGGCACGTGGAGCCCTTGAGTCAGTCCAGAAGTTTCCGTCGTCGGCACAACTCTTGTAAGTCAGAGCACATTGATACTTCCTTTTAACCTGATATTTGAGGGCTGTAAGTTCTTACCACTGCTATTCTTTAAAGAATCTTTTGTTACCCTAATAAAAAAGGATGCTGGTAGAGCTTCACAAAAACATACCATTGTTCTCTTACTCCAGGGCTATTTCCTCAAGATACTAAGGGAAAAGGAAAAGGCTATTAGAGACTCACACCAGTTCCTGCCCTCTCCCTTCCCTTTCTTCAAGAAAACATCTGCCTAGAGTTGACATAGACCGAAGTGATATTGTTTTTGATCTAGTAACTGATGGTTGTAGTGACCTCTGAGTTGAACCTGCACTGGGGCTGGTCCAGGGGATTCTTGGATAACTTTTCTTCTTGTGATTTCACTCCTATCCTCAATTAGAGGAGAGGAAGGTGTCTTGCCTAGACATCTCTGTGATCTTAGTTTCAGGCTGACAATTGTGAATTTACTGTACTTACTGTCCCTATTGGTACATACAAAGAGTGCGCATTGGTGGATGTTGATGTCTGATTTTGTTTGGTACTAACCTATTGTTGAATGCCATTTGCTCATTATGGAACCATAGTTAATTCACTAGAATCTGGTTTGCTCTATAATATATTCACTGAAATAATGTGACTCTGTTATATAATAATGAATTATAACAGATGCACTAGAATCTGTGAGGCACTGCTGTCAGGAGTCATCATTTTAAGTTTTGAAAATACCTGATTCTGTGAATAAACTTTTGAAATTTTGAGATTAAAAAATGTATTTCAAGGCACTTTTCTTCAGTGCTTCTTAAGTAACTATCTGAATTGACCATGGTTGAAAACCTGAGACTGAAATTGAATTGTTACTTCTGTATCCTTTGAAAAATTGTAGAATACTTGGATAGAAAATGAGTCTTTCCATTTAGACTCTAACCTTCACTATTTTGCTTTATGTTCTCTTTAGAAAAACAAAAACAAAACCAGACCTTTTTTTTCTTTACCAAAAGCATTGACTTGTTAAAACTTTAAATACTCAAGGAGTTTATAATCTCATACACTTGGAGATAATCTTTATTAATCATTTATATATTTTTTTCTACAGATTTTCTCCCTGTCATTAACATCTGATGTTATTATGGTACACTTGTTACAATCAATGAACCAGTGTTGATACATAACATTATTTCAGACTTTCATTGCTTTTGATGACCTAGATAATTTTGATAAGTACTAGTCAGATATTTGGTAGAATATCCCTCAATTGGTATTTGATGTTTTTCTCATGATTATACTGGGATTATATGTTTCGGAGAAGAACAACACTGAGATAAAGTGTTTTTAACATTATATCACATCAAATGTAGCTTTCTACTGGGTGCACAGGATCTGGGGTTACCTGGGTGGTGCATACCAAGGTCAGCCCCTACCTTTGTTTTGCCTGGAGCCACCTTGCCTGAGCTGAGCTGAGCTGAGCAATCTGAGATGGCTGCGACTTGTGCTGGGCTTGGGGATTCCCAGGCGAAGCCAAGCTGTGAATCTTAAGCTAGTTGCTGCTAGCGCTGGGCCTAGGGCCACTTAGCAGTATGTATAGGGGCTGGGGGCTCACTGAGGCTGGCAGTTGCTTGTTTGAGAGGGTTTAGGAAGTTGTGAAGCGTGAGCCAAAACCAGCCATTCCTATGGAAAAGCTGCTTGGGAAAGCTGCTTGGGTGGTCTTTTAAATTGCGTGGGACAGAGTCTCTGGGGATTTCCAGGGCACAGCAAACAGTGTTAGCCAGGTTGGTGGAGACTCAAATAAGGCACCAGCCTGGAACCCTGGGATGGGGGGACCTGTGATGGGACCAGGACCCCTCGCTCTTGAGATATTCCTCCTGAATTTTTATCTACTACACGTTGATGTGGGACCAGTCCATTCCATATCTCTGCCCCTCCTACCAGTTTGGATAGGTGTGGTTTCTTGAATTCCATAGTTGTCTGACTTCCATTCCACTCGATTTCTGACACTTCTGAGTAATGATTGTTCCATATTTTAGTTGTAATTTTGATGTGGTTGTACAAGGAGACAAACCACGTTAACCTATGCCGCCCTCTTGACGCGGAAGTCGGTTATGACTTTTGATGTTGACCTTGGTTACCTGGCTGAGGTGGTGTGTGTCAGATTTCTTTTTTCTTTTTTTAAGGTTTTATTTATATTTTAGAGAGAGGGTAAGGAAGGGAGAAGGAGAGGTAGAGAATCATCAATGTGTGGTTGCCTCTTGTGCGCCCCCTACTGGAGATCTGGCCTCCAAACCAGGCATGTGCCCTTGACGGGGACTTGAACCCATGACCCTTTGGTTCACAGGCCAGCACTCAGTCCACTGAGCCACACCAGCCAGGGCTAGATTTCCTTTGTAAAGTCACTCTGTTTCCCCCCTTTCCAGATTGTGCTCTTTGTAAGGAAGTCACTGTGTGCACCCTGTACCTAAGGACTGGGAGAGTGTCATGCACTTAAGATTTCTTCTCTTCCATGTATTTATTCACTCAGTCATTTATTTTTTTATCAGTATGGACTAAATTCTATACTGCTTTATTTTTGTGCTCATTGCTTCAGCTTTGGCCACTGAGAGCACTTTCAGTTGGCTGCTGTGTACCTTTGACATGCCCGCATTGCATGCACTTTGACATGCATTCATGTGGGTGGTTTCTTCCCAGTAGTTCTTTACTTTCTGGCACTGCAAGAGGCTCCAGGTTTATCTTCCTCCCAGAAACAGCCATGTCTCTAAGGAGCCCTGTTTCCTTTTATCGGAGAATGGTATTATAAACCATGATCTGGGTGCATACACACTGCTACTGGGTTTTGCCCTTTAAGCTGACAGAACAAGAAAATATATGTGCATACCTAACCCGTGTATATATGCATACCCATATATATTTCTCTACTATATGAAGATAAATATGAGTTTATATTGATATCTGCAATTTTAATCCATTACCGTGTGGATCATTCTAGCCTCCTTTTCTTATTTGTCATTCCAACAGACACCTGTCTCCTACTATTTGCCATCCATTGACTTAAATTATTCTATTGCAGTACACATGTGTTAGTTAGCATAGGAATTACTAATCTGTACCCTCACCTACATCGACTTGTTTCATATAACAAATTCTGTCACATTCTGCATTTCACCCTGATGGCCTCCAGCGTCCTCCGTGATTTTTAAAAATTTGTGTACATTAAAAAACAATAACAAAGTTTTTAAAATTTATGTACATTGAAGCTCACTCTTTGGCTTCTGAAGTTCTGTGGATTTTAACAAATACAGAGCCTTGTGTCCGTTGTTACAGTATCATACAGAATCCCCCATGTTTTACCTGTTCTGTCCTTTCTTCCTTCCTTTAATGAACTTTCACTCCTGACAGCTCCTTCTCACCCCAGCAACAACTGATCTTTTTACCAACCTCTGTAGTTTTGCTTTTTCCAGAATATTGCATATATTTTTTAATTTTTAATTTTTTCAATTACAGTTTATAGTCAATATTATTTCAGTTACACTTTATAGTCAATATTATTATTTCCAGAATATTGCATATATTTTTTAATTTTTTCAGTTATAGTTTATAGTCAATATTATTTCAGTTTCGGGTGTACAGCATAGTGGTTAGACAATGATACTGTCCAAACTGATTCCCTGATAATTTCCAGTACCCCGCTGGCATCATACATATTTATTACAATATTATTGACTATATTCCCTGTGCTGTCCTTGACATCCCCGTGGCTATTCTGTAACTACCAATTTATTCTTCTCAATCCCTTCACCTTTTTCGCCCAGCCTCCCCATTGCCCAGAGTATCACATAACTAAAGTCACACAGTAGGTAGCTTTTTCAGACTGTCTTCTTACACTTAACAGTGTGCATTTAAGATTCTTCCATCTCTTTTTGTGGCTTGATAGATCATACTCTTTTTGTTTATCTACTTACCTATTAAAGAATATCTTCGTCACTTCCAGCTTTTGGTGATTCAGAATAAAACTGCCATAAACATTTGTGTGCAGGTTTTGTGTGGACATAGTTTTCAGATAAGTTGTGTAACTACCTAGGAGTGTGATTGCTGGATGTTATAGTATGGCTATCAATTTTTTCTATTTTTTTTCCTATTACTAGCAGTTATAGCAACTCTCTTCAAAGACTGCAGTTGACTTCAAAACAAGTAATTTATGTGATCTTTAATGACTTACTTTGGTATGTTAAAAAGTGTAGTCACTCTCAGAAGCATACCCTGACTGATGCTTCTACTTTTGCTGTTTGCTTTGTTCCCGTTTTCCTAGATTAAGTGCAGATAAATATGATAAAGAGATCATGGACAGAAAAATGTTACTCTCTTTCAGAGAACATTTTCTGAATCAAGATTGTGGGAAATGTCTGTGGCCTAGAAATTTGATCATGAAAGGTGGCTCAGAATTAGTTTGTGATAGAAGATAGAATTACATCTATTATCTGTTTGGTGGTGGCCCTCTAAGATAAGCGGTAAGGTCTGCCAGAGATTGACTTACTTGACATTTATGTAGCATTTTAAGGATTCCAAGGAAATACATTGGTTTCTTCCCACCACAGTTGTAATGTAGTATATCAATGTTTTCTCCATTGATGAATGAAGAGATAGAGATTTAGATTTCTAATGAGAAATCTATAAATAGAATTCTGGTGTATGAACATTAATGTTGAGACTAGTAGACTGATAACACTATAGGGATATAATTTCTCTTCATTTCTGGCTTCTAAGCGTTTTTTCAAAGTTAGTAATGAATTGTTGAGGGATTTGGTGGTTTTCATTACCTAATCCAACACTGATGAGAGATATTTTTTTTTTAAGATTTTATTTTTCTTTATTTTAAGGGGCTGGTTTTTCAAAATTTTATTGATTATGCTATTACAGTTGTCCCGTTTTTCTCCCCTTTATTTTCCTCCACCCTACACTGCCCCCCACAGCATTCCACACCCCGCCCCCCCCACCCTTAGTTCATGTCCATGGG